AGAATGCCTGCCATCAACAAATCATCAAGCAACAAGTGTTGGCGAGGCTGTGGAGAAAAGGGGTCTCTAGTACACTGCTGGTGGGAATGCAGACTTGTGCAGCCACTATGGAAAACAATATGGTGTTACCTCAAAAAATTAAAAATTGAATTGCCATTTGACCCAGTGATCCCACTTCTAGGAATGTACCCTAAAAAGCCTGAAACACCAATCACAAAGAATATATGTACCCCCATGTTTATAGCAGCACTATTTACAATAGCTAAGATCTGGAAACAGCCCAGGTGTCCATCAGTAGTCTAATGGATAAAAAAGCTGTGGTACATATACACAATGGAATATGATGCAGCTGTAAGAAAGATCTTTTATCCTTTGAGATGACATGGAATGACCTGGAAAGTATTATCCTAAGCTAAACAAGCCAAGCAGAGAAAGACAAATATCATATAATCTTACTTATTTGTGGAATATAATGAACATAATAGTCTGAGAAACAGGATAGTTCCAGAGATGTGGAAGTAGGGTACAATCCCCAGAAGAGGGGTTGGGGAGGGAAGAGATAAACCACAGAACTTATACACATGTACGTATAACCAATGGACATGGTCAACAAAGCTGGAGACGGGGTGGGGAGGGAAAAGGAAGAGGGTGGCAATGGGGGAAAAAGGAGAAACGTGTAACAAAAAACAAAACAAAACAAGGAAGAATAGTATTTCATGACAAATGAAAATTATGTGATATTCCAGTTTGTGTTCTTAAGTAAAGGTTTGTTGGAGCACAGCCATGCTTCTTTGTGTTACCTTGGCTGCTTTCATGCTACAGTGGCAGAGTTGAGCTCTTGGGACAGAAATCACATGTCCTGCAAAGACAAAAATATCTGCAACTTGGTCTTTTACACAGAAAATTTGCCAACATCTTCTTTAAAAGACACTGTTAAAAAGACCTAGCTTCCTCATCTATAAAAGTACTTTTTTTTTATTCTCACCCGAGGACATTTTTCCATTTTTTTGTTCAGATAGAGTGGGAGGGGGAGAGAGACAGAGAGGGAGGGGAGGGGAGGGGAGGGGAGGGGAGGGGAGGGGAGGGGAGGGGAGGGGAGGGGAGGGGAGGGGAGGGGAGGGGAGGGGAGGGGAGGGGAGGGGAGGGGAGGGGAGGGGAGGGAGGAGAGGAGAGGAGAGGAGAGGAGAGGAGAGGAGAGGAGAGGAGAGGAGAGGAGAGGAGAGGAGAGGAGAGGAGAGGAGAGGAGAGGAGAGGAGAGGGAAAGAAACATCAATGTGAAAGGGACACATCGAGTGGCTGAAACATCAACATGAAAGGGACACATCGAGTGGCTGCCACCTGCACGACCCAACCAGGGCTGAGGACAAACTACAACCGAGGTACATGCCCTGGGTCTCTCGGGACTGCAGGCCAACGCTCTAACTGCTGAGCCAAACCGGCCAGGGCAGTACTTTTTTTTTTTTGATGAGTACAGATATATTAAAGATAACAGCATTCCATAGAAAATCAATGTTTTCTCATAGATACACTTTAAAATCAATGTAGACATTTAAATACTCCTTTTAATAAAGAAAAAATTTATTTCTAAGGATTACCACAGAAAACTTTTATATTTAAAAAATATAGCCCTGGCCAGTTTGGCTCAGCGGTTAGAGCATCGGCCTGCGGTCTGGAGAGACCCGGGTTTGGTTCTCGCTAAGGGCACGTACTTCGGTTGCAGTTTGTCCCCGGCCCTGGTTGGTCGTGCGGGTGGCAGCCACTCGATATGTCCCTTCACGTCGATGTTTCTCTCTCTCTTCCTCTCTCTCCCTCCCACTCTATCTGTCCAAAAAAATGGAAAAATATCCTTGGGTGAGGATAAAAAAAAAAAAAAAATTAAAAAATATAGAGAGTTTAGCTCTGGCTGAGTGGCTCAGTTGGTTGGATCATCATCCCATGAACCAAAAAGTTGCCGGTTGTGTCCCCAGTCAGGGCACATACCTAGGTTTGGGTTTAATACCCATTTGAGGCACATGCAGAAGGTAACCAATTGATGTTTCTCTCTCACATCAGTGTTTCTCTCTCATTCTCCCTTCCTCTCTCTCTGAAGTCAATAAACATATCCTCAGGTGAGGCTAAACAATTAAAAATTAAAAAAAAATAGAGTTTAGACTTGATAGCAAACTTGAGCAATATCCAGTTTTTTATAAATTTTACCTGAGTGTATTTTCAAGTGCTTCATCTATTATAGCACTTTTCAAACTTTGGATCTCAGGGGCCCGTTATACTTTTACAAATCATTGAGAACCTCACGGATCTTTTATTTATATGGGTTATATTTTTCATTATGTATTATATTAGATATTAAAACCAAGAAATTAAAATATATACATATTTAGTACTCATTTGAAAATAACTGTAAATCCATTTTATGTTCGTGTAAATAACTTATATGGAAAATATTATTTCCAAAGAGAGATATGTTTGACATTATTTTACAAATCTCTTTAAGATCTAGTTTAAAAATAAACAGCTAGATTCTCATCTATTTCTTCATTCAGCATTATGATGTCATACATCATTAGACTTTACTATACACTTGAAAAAGAATGAGAGTGAAAAAGGTAAATAAATTCTTAGAACTATTATGAAAGTATTTTTGACTTCATGGATTCATTCTCTGAAGGGGTCTCAGGGACCTCCAAGGTTTTCTATGCCACACTTTGAAATCTGTTACTCTTTTGTAACTGAGAATGAACAATTAATCATATCACATGCACACATGTTTACAGTGGTAAAAATTATTGATGGTCCCCGATTTAGGAATGTAGTAAGTTTCAAATGCTTGCTTGTAAGCAACCTGATTACTTGTTGAACTCAATTGACTTGAACAAATAGTGTTTCAGAATTAATTTGTTTAGTGTGTCAGGGATTATGTGTGAAATGTATTCAAAATCCAAGCCTGGATTAGAGGAATGTGGCTTCCTTCTTTCTTGCAGTTGTGTTGGGACTTCTATCTTTACATCATTCCTCACCAGCCAGTGATATCAGGAATTTATTCAGTTCTAAAATTCCACTGGGGCTCCTCCAGCCTGGGGCTGGAAGCAAGAGCATGATGAAAAAAAGACTTGGTGTTTGTCAGGAGCAAAATGACTTTTCTTTAATAAAATGCAGTAATTAGTTAAACTTTTTTTCACCTTATTGCTGGGCTTTGGGTCAAGTCTTGTCTTATTTTCTCCAGAGCAGAACACAGACTCACAGTTTTCTCCATATTCTTCTGTATGTATTATGCCTCTAACAACTCAAACTAGCTTAAAGAAATGATTATTGGCTCACACAACTCGAAAGGTCTGGGTATAAAAGTTAGAGTTGAATTCAGACAGGCTTAATGTCATCAGGACTTCTTCTTTCTACTTTCACTGTGTTGACAACTTTCCTACCTAAAATGTTTCTTTCTTTCCATGTGCTGAAAATAGGGTAATCAGCATGCATGGACTTCTCAGAAAGAAAGAGACTCACATTTTTTTATTTTTAATCTTCACCCGAGGATATTTTTTTCAAATATCTCAGACAGAGTGGGAGGGGGAGAGAGAGAGAGAGAGAGAAATTGAGAAAGAGAAAGAGAATCATCACTGTGAGAGAGAGACATTGATTGGTTGCCTCCCACATGACACCGACCAGGGCCGGGGAAGGACCACAATCGAAGTCCATGCCCTTGGCTGGAATCAACCCCGCGACTTTTGGTCTATCGGCCGACGCTCTAGCCGCTGAGCCAAACTGGCCAGGGTAGAGACTCACTTTTTTGCCAGTGCCAATATCAGTCCCAGATTAAAGGATACTAACTGGCCAGCCCAGGTCACATATCTACCCTGTAGTGGAAAAGAGGAGTCCTGGGTTCAAATCCCCTCCAGAATCTCCTGGAGAGCAACAGAGGAGTTGCTAAAAGATGCAGGGGAGACAGCAAGGAAAACTTGTTCTGAACCTCTTGCTTCTAAATGAAATCAAGGACCTTTCAAGATTTTCTGTGGATTTTTGCGGTTTTTAGATTGTGATTATTAAATTGAATTAATTTGCTACAATAATTAATTGCTTTGAAGAAAACTGAGAAATAAAATTCAAAATGACAGATAAGATAGAGTTTTAGAAATCTCACTCTACTCCTGACTAGTGTTCCTTAACACCAGGTAGGCATTACTTTATGCTTTGGAAAACATGTCCATTTCTGTCTCTGTCATTTCTGAAACTGCTGATCTCTTATGTTCCCTCAGTGCAGGAACCATAACACCTTTTTTATTGAGAGGAAATCTGAGACCCAGTGAAGTTAAATAAGTTATCCAAGGTCTTGATTAGTAAATGGTAGAACTGAATCTTTCTCACCCCAAACTAGTTTTCTGTCTTCCGTAGGTACTACCTCTTCATTAAACATCTTGCTAAGTGAAAAAGTCCTACATTTATTTATTCATTCACCAAATATTTATTGATAGGTACTCTTCTTGACACTGAAGAGGACATGAGGACATGCAGTGAGCAAAATAGGTAAGATTTTGTTCTCATGGAGTTCATGTCCTAAGGGAGAAGACAGAAAATAAATAAATTAACATATATGATGTCACATGGCAATGATTACTGGAAAGGGATCAGAAAGTGTGCTCTTTAAGTAAGAGGATTAGGGATGACATTTCTGAGGTTATACTTGACCAGAGACCTGAATGGAAGCATGACAGGGGGATATTGAAAGGAAAGGTGACCCAGATAGGAGACCAGGAGGAACAAAGGCACTGGAGTGGCAGTGTTCTTGGCATATTTTCAGGGAACAGCAAAGAGGTTAGGGGTCTGAAACTAATTTTGGGTAGGGGTGGGAGCAGTAGGGAATTAGCTATGAGTGGTTGCCAAAGGACACTTTATCCAGAAAGTTTAGAGAGATGGAAACTATTCAACTGTGAACTTTCTTTTTCTTTTCTTTTTTTTTTTTTAAGAAAAGAAAAACCTTTTTATTATATTAAGGTGTTTATCTTGAGAAGATGGAAAAAGAGATTCTTCATCATTTCTACCATCCATAGTGAGTATTCAAGTTTATGTGTTCCATCATTTATTTATTCATTCTTTCGGTCAACATTTATTAGGCACCCACTATACTCTGGATACTGAGCCAGATGTTGGAGCTGTGGAAGGGAAAAGTCATTTTCTGTCCTTCAGGAGCCATCGTATGTCATATAAACAAAAGGGTGATCAGGTGGACAAGAGCATCATGCATTACCATTCACACTTTTTTTTTCCAGAAGGTTTCCACAAGTGCTAGCTGGAAGCCTGCCATTTACTGACATGTTGCTATAAATTTTCAAATTAAATATTCTACTAGAAATGGAATCAGTGTGGTAACAGATTCATCTTACTACTGTTTCAGAAGAGTTTAAAAGCATTTAATTTCCATGTCATATCCATTAAAAATGCATGATGTCATGTCATCTGGGGAGCAATTTATTTCATAATTTGAAGTAGAACCAACAAAACAAGATTCAAACAGGAAACAAAAGTGACAAGGTACAGAATAACATGAAACAGTACACGTACACCTACCGTGAACTTTCTGGGATTAAGTGACCTGACAGAGAACAGAGTTTAATGGAGACAAATCAGAGAACCAAACCATATTTCATTTTTCTCCGCGCGAGAGAAGTGTAAATCAGGATGAAATAAAGTTAATGTGATATGCAGAAAACATTTTTAGTGTTGGTTTCCTCTGTACTAAAATGAGGAAAACAGAGCACAAGGAAGGCCAAGTGAGGCGACTGCATAATGAGCTCTGGGATTAAAGAGGATGCAGGTCTGTGGAGTGGCCTCTGCCTCCGCAGTCACCCGTGCTGCTGGCCAGCTGGCACCCAACCTGCCCAAGGCTCTTTCATGTGCTGGACTTCAGGACAAGAGACGAGAGCTGTGGATATGCTCTCTCTCTCCAATATCCACTCCCCTTCCCTTCTATCTCCTTCCAACTTTTTTACATTTGTACTTGCGTATTTCATATGGGTCATGAAAGGTGGTTATGTATTATGGCTACAGAGTACTGTATTACATTTCAAGGGCAGAAAAAGGCTATACGTTAAGCTGCCAAATCAAATCCTTGCCAAAATGGTCCAAGCTAATGAGAAGGTTTGTAAATTACAGTTAAATGGATGAAATGTGGAGAACAAGGAATACCAGGGAAAATCAGCAAATGGAATCACCGGGGTCACTGGTTCTTTCCCTGGAGTTTCTTCTGAATGATCTTTGTTGAAGTATTTAAGAATTTAAGCCTTGATATATTAATGTTTTAAGAATTCCTATAAATTTTAATCAGGAACTAGGTCAAGTATTATTAAAACTAAGGGAACTATCACAATATTTCATACAATATAATTGGTCCATAAATGCCACTTCATGTAGGAATGTTTATCTGCAAAAATAAATAGATGGACAAATATCAAATTGTAGAAGTGAGAAGTAAGGGTAGCCTTACCACTTGAGTCTAGTTCCTACCTTTCCTCATTGCCACAGAGGGAAAAATTCCATTAATTTAGAATTTTACACACATTCTGATCTTATTTCATTTTAACTGGTCCTAACAATGTGTCAGTTGATTCCTTCACTGATTAATATACATGAACTGATTTTAATTTCTAAATTGGTCTTTTCCCTCTTTCTGCTGTTTTTTGAAGTTTTGTTCTGTATGCAATTGCTTTGGAGTCAAACAACAAAGAATTAAAAAAATCATAGCTCCTTGAGTCTTTAGACTTTTTTCAAGCCATAAAACCTTGAGTTTCAGAAACTTTCACATTTTGCAGCTGAAAGCAAGTGACTTTAAGGATCCCTAGATATGAATTCCTTAGGTCTTGGCTAGGTGAATCAGTTGTTTGAGGCATCATCCAGTAGACCAAAGGGTTGTAGATTCTATTCCTAGTCAGGGCACATACCTAGGTTGCAGGGTCAATCCCCAGTCAGGATGCATAGGGGAGGCAGCTGATAGATGTTTCTCTCCCTCTCTCCTTTCCTTACTCTCTAAAAAATCAATGAAAATATTGAGAATTTAGAAAATAAAAAGAAATCCTTAGAAGTGACTGGGCAGAAAATTAAAGCAGTAAAATTAACTTCTTGGATATAGTTCCTATACGTGGTGGTCAGAAATAAGGCAAAAATCAATTTATCATTTTCTCAGGACATATTTTCTATGCAACTTCATTAAAAAGCATAAAACATTTTTGTGATAAATCATAATTGATGAAATTAATGTATTTTTAAACTAAGTTATTTCTTTAATAAAAACAATCGTCGTGACTAAGAGAACATAAAACTTTCTAATTTTTAAAAAGCAAATATTCCACATTACTAAGCCAAAAATGTTATTATAAAAGCTGCAAATACATTCAGTTTAGATGTAGGTAATGGTGATTGCTTGGGCTTTCAGCACATTAGTAGCAAATTATAGGCAGATAGATAAAATTAGACATCAACTGAATTCCTCTTTTCCTCGGGTCCTCTTCTTCTGTATAATTATTCCCATCACTAAAAAAATGAACTAAATATCTAAATGTATATAGAGTTAGTCTGTGGTATCTACATTCTCTATTTTCAATAAATTAAGTTGAAAAGAAAGGAAAGCAACCTATTACATTATTTTGTAAAATTCAATGAAAGCTTTAGTGTTGATTTTTGTGTTTAATTTATTTTTTGGTTGGTTGTTTTCATGGCATTCATTATGAGGAGTTTTGTGTAAATGGGAAGTAGTGGTAGGATGGAATAGACCAAAGATAGGGGAATAGGGAACAAGAAAGAAAAACAGAACTGTGCTTCCATGTAATGTGTTTTGGAGCTCAGCACGGGATGTTGTGGGGTTACCTCTACCTCTAGGAGTCGGGAATGGCATCCACAGAGAAAGTATGTCTGAGATGAGTCCCGAGTAAGGGATAGGAGTGTTTCCAGGCAGAATAGGGTGAGAATGGGGAGAATGATACATGTAGTCAGCGGCACTCTTCAAGGCCCAGAGTGCATGAACAAGCTCACTTGAGGATGTGCACACAGGTGGGCTCAGCGAGAGTGTTCAAGGCCATTGGGAGATGAAAATGTAAGGCAGGTAGTGGCAGCCAAAGTCTTCATCGACCAAAGTATATTCCAAGACTTTGGAATATATGGGTAGGTGATAGGAAAAGCCACTGAAGAGTTTTGTGCAGGACATAGGAGTGAAGTGTTTATGACATGGTTATCATTCATTTTAGAAAGATCACTTTTAAGGTTGTGCAGAAGACTAAAGCCAGGCTGTCCTGAAGAGGAGACCAATCAGTAAGTGTTTGCATAAGCTGTGCCCAGAAGTGTTAACAACCAGTGCTTAAATCACAGTTGCTTAGTACAACCAAAGGATATTTCTCACTCCTTCTATATGCCCTGCACAGGTCATCAGGGACTCTCTTCCATCACATCACTGAGGGACTCAGGCTCTGCCACATTTTGGCTGCACCATCTGGAGTACATGGCTCTTTAGTTACAGCAACAGGGAAAGAGGCAATGACAGGGTTGTGCACTGGCTCTTTTAGGCCCCGGGATGAAAGTGACACATTCCATTTCTTCCTGGACTCACCTCCAGTTACATGGTTGTGCCTAACCCCAGGAAGGAGGGAAGTGGGGGAATGCACATGGAATGCTTGCTGAGCATCACAGTCTCTGTTACAGTAGGTTCAGGTAACTAGATGGAAGCTGCTATGGAGCTGGAGAGGATGCAGTCAGCTTTGAGTCGTCTTAAAGTGCTGGAAACAACAAATAACCAAGGTAATTTGGTGGGGAGGGAGAGAGGAGCAAAAAAGGATGATTATTGGGTAAGTACTAAGTGGGGTCAATGTACTCAACTTAGTAAGTAAAACTGGCAGAGGCATAAGTAGGTGGGGTAGAGAGTGATAAGATTCATTTTGTCCAGTGCTGGCATCTGCAGAACCTAATTAAATATATCCAGTAGTGAGTGCAGGTCTGAAGCTCAAAACAGGACTAGCTATTGATACTTGTATACAATTATGCAATTATAGCTAGAGATTGAAGACATGCAGGTGGACAGTTCTTCTCAAGGAGAGGATATAGAATGAGAAGAGGCGAGATCTAAAAATGTTGAATTGTCTACGCACTCTGAATCCAAAGTCATCACACCTGGATTGATTCAGGAAATAGAAGATCAGAATGTCTGCCTACACAAGACTATAATTAATTGGGTTTTGATGTTGGTTGCAGAGACGAGACACACTGAGAGATTTATTGAGTGCAATATTTATTCGATGCCTCTTATGAACTCTTGGAGAGATTTACTTTAGATAGTGAAGAATATTAGACACTAGAAGAGTTAATGAACAGAGTAGGTGGAAACACTGATTCTACCTCTTAAACATCTCTCTTTAGTGCAGTGTTTTTCAAATTGTGTTTCTCAGAGGGACCTCAGGAGGGGCTGCAGGATGCAAAAGGAAAGAGAGGCAGAGTGACGCACATCTTACACCTCCATCAGCTCTGCAGTTGTTTGTTTTATATTGTAGGTTCACATAAGATTTAATTTGCAAAAGAGAGTCTCACACCACAAACAAAACAAACAAACAAACAAAAACACACATTGCCTCTCCATCTGCAATGTTAGGAAGCCTCAGTTGAGGTTTTTATCATTTCTTACTTAGATTATTGTATTCATCTTCCCTTTGGTCTCCCTAGCTCTTTACCCTTTGTTATCCACTCTCCACATTGCTCCCAAAGTGATCATTCTTAAACACAAATCTGATTCTGGCATTTGCTTGTACAGGGCATTTATTGACTTCCTATCACCTTTACTGTAAAGTTAAACTTTATAGGATGGCACTGAGATAACACTTCATAATGGACCTCTATTGACCTCTCCCCGGCTCCATTTGCAGATGTCTCCATTTGTTCTGTGTGCTTCTGACGTAACAAACAACTTGCATTTACTGTGTCCTGAGGTTGAGAATGCCTTCTGCCTAGCTAATTCAACTTTTCAGATGCAGTTTCACTATACCATTTTTTTTTTTTTTTTATCCTCACCAAGGA